TTGTAACACTAATTCGAGTATTTTTGACCCCTCAATTCATTTTAGAACATACTCAACTTTTTCATTTATATTGTATTCACAATTGTGTCACAAAACTCAAATAATTAACACAATTGTTCGGCCGGTGAATACAAGTTGATGTATTAGTTAAATAGTATTCAATCTTCATTTCCTATTTGAATCCCTTCATTTCAAGTCAGTTGCTTTCCTAGACATGTCACATCAAACCGAATCAATCATAGTTATTGACAACATGCTAAAGTAGCAACACTGAAATAAAATTTTAATAAACAGTCACAAGTCATAAGGGTATATATAAGTGAGGTCAAATGTGCCTCAAATACTCACATAATGAAGAAGCAGGGATCAATTCTTTCATTTCTCTTTGGTCCTTAAAGCACACATGGTATGAAACACGTGTTACGATGTTTTCTCCCTTTCTTGGGGCGTATGTCTAATCTTGCAAAGTAAATACATCGTACAAATCATAGTTTATATATTCCTCGATATCTAACTTGAGTTCTCCTTATATTCATGCCTCCAAGCATTCTTAAATCGAGAACTCGATCCGGCTACTAAATGGGTTTAATGGATAGAAAAATCAATTTCGATGACTTGTTGTAATCTCATCTTGATACCTTAACAAAGCGATTGAATCATGTACACAACATAATCACTATCAAGGCCACAGGATCATGTATACAACATGATTATTTTGTCTCATCTCAGCACATCTCAAAACGTCTTAGGCGATTGCTTGTATGAGTGAGCCAATTTCAACCCGTTTGACATACTTTATATATGTATACAAATCATTTATCTCATAATTTCAACATTGGATTACACATGAACTCAAAATTGTCTATCTATGGGCACATAAAACTCAATCAAGAGTTTGTCTGATATACCAAGTATCATATTCTACGAAATTCTAGAGATTCTATATTATCAACAAATATATCTCTAGACATTTTCAGAGTATGATGATTACATATCACCATTTACGTAGATATATCACAAAGACACTTTCTTTGCTAATGTCTCTCATAGAATTATCATTAATTGTTTGGTTCCATCTTGATACTTAAGATCTTAACATATAAGATAGTTACGTAACTATCATGGATCTCATATTCTCAACCAATATCATTAGATGCTCATTACATCCATACCAAACAATTTCTTTAGTTGCCAAGATATACATTACAACATATGCTTCTTGCTACTTTATATAGCAAAAGCGCACAAGTCAAAAAAACTAATTATGCTCGACTAACTCTCATTCTTAGTCAACAATTGTATATTTATTCCAATCACAAGTTATTCGTTTGACAACGAAATAGAATAACTGACAGCAGCATCCTTCAGGTATCACAAGACATTTTTTAAAGATAATATTGATATATACTGATTAGATCCATGGCATGACTATTGTTAGGAAAAGTATAAATCATAGTATACTTTTATCTTCTTACTCTTAATCGTACTAGATATGGTTCTCTAGATATTTCTTTGTGCACTTATGAAATCATTGGACATTTATGAAGATTTATATGGTCACAATTGCAATTCCACATGAGCATTTATAGTATAAAACTATTATGATAGAGCAAGAACATACGAAAATTATTCTTAACACAAATCATACAATTTGTTAAACCCATGTCTTTTCTCTCAAAAATTGAGGATAACCATTTCAAAATGGTCTCTATACACTCCTTATCATGTTTTGTCAATCCAATGTCATCAATATCAAAGTTAGAATTACAACCTATCATTAGACCTTTTCACAAATATAGTAATTTTCGCCCATATGACAAAATTCTCGTACGAGATTTAACCCTGTTAAAAACTCAAGTGCGACTGTCAAGATGACTGTATTTGGCCATGTGTGTAACTGTAAAGTTACTACTATACAAAAAAAAGCCTTTAACATGAAATCTAAAAGTCAATTCATGTTGATATCTTTAATCATTTCTCAATTGAGAATAAAAATACGGTCTCTAAGTCAATTTGGTGTAACTCTAAATTTAAACATACCATCACAGCTAGCATTGATGTACAGAAGCGAATCCCATCATTATGAAAAAATTTATCCAACTCAATACACTCACATTGAGTATAAATTTTTTTCAAAAATGAGCTTTATCTATTAAAAACTCATTAGTCTTCCACTTAAATTTCAAGTATCATTGAAATATAATGTTTGAATAGAACTTTCACCATATCTCAAATTAGGTCGAAACTCTATACTCTATATATATACTTCCATCATTTTTTTTCAAAATTCATCTTCTGATTTTTTTGAACCAAGAATCATTGGAATTAAATAGCTTTTAGATCCAACTCGGAACCAAGAATCATTAAATTAGATAGTTCTTGGATGGCTCCCACTCAGAACCAAAAATCATTGATATTAAATGGCTCTTAGCTCCCACTCGAAATCAAGTATCATTGAAATTAGATAGTTCTTAAATAGCTCAAACTCGGATAGATAAGTCCAACTCAAAAACAAATTACTCCTACTTGAATAAGAAGTTCGAATATTCACTTATATATTCAAAATTGATTCATCAATATATATATTATCAATTTCAACGATGTTCTCCAATATTTTCTCTCTTATTGAAAAATATGTCAAAAGTCACTTATTTTGACTCGATATCCATCCAAAATTTCACTCAAGTACCTTTTTGAATTACATGTATGTCATCGAGACACATCTAGTTCTCAATAGACTCATGTTCCCACACTCGTTATTGAGAACATATATAGTCCATTAAGAGTTTATGATAACCCATATTCGGTTATTTACGTGTCCAAAACTTATATATTTTGAAGGTGCCAACATTGGGAGAACTCCATTAATTGATACGTAGTTAGCCAACACTCTTTCCAAAAGCAAATGCGTAAGTTGTACTGCATATTATGAACCTCATCAGTCATCCAAGACACCATATAATTATTGGACATTAAAAAGTAGTCAATCCAATAAAAGTTTCTCTCATTACGTAGATCATTGATATCTCATGATAGAGATTCACGTTGTCAAACAGTTTTTAAAATCTTCACTTCCATAATCTGATTTTCTACTCGACCTCATAAAAGTCTAAATCAGTACAATATCTTCAATTTAAGAAAATCAGTCTCATAACTGAAGTGCATGAATCCATCTATAAATGTAATGAAAAATAAAGTTCCATCTCTATCTCTCTTGATCACAGCCCACAAAGAAATTCGGATGAATTTATTCTATAGAAGTTCAGCTCTTACAACTTTGAATGGTTTTCTCAACTCAAAACCTCAAATCAAACCATTGCACAAATATCTAGAATCATAATAAACATCACCACTATGAGTACGAACAGAAATATCACGTACAAGTTCAAGTAAGAGACCCCTTTTAGAAGAACAATAATTGAGATCAAATTTAGTGGAGTCTTTGATACTATCTCAATATCAAGTAGGAGGTCAGTTTATCTACTTTGCAACACTAAGTTGCAGTACTAGTCATATAAACCTCCACTCCATCTTCACTATTTGTACATATATTTTTCGTATCAAGTCAAATACTCAATAATAGACTAACATACTTCTTGATCTCATATGAAGTGGGTTTCTAACCCTTGAATCCATTATCTACACAAGATAAATCCAATTTGTATAGTGTTGATACATAAACAACACTAAAAGGAATATATTCAAGTGCAATATCCCTTAACTTAACCACTTCCAAGCTAAGAGATTCAAACCATATAGTTGAAGCACTTGAACCTTCATAACATTGATCCTCTACCAAAACCACTTTCATTCACTTACTATCTGAAGTCTTCTTGGTCCCTTTACCAGTCTCCCACATCCATCCCACATTTGTTCAAACTCATTCAATGCTTAAGATTCAAAGTCTTATGCAAGCTAGAATATTGCTACACAAGCATGTCCTCAAGACTTAGCAACATCAAGTCACACGTCTTTTAATTCACATAACGGGTAGTGTCAATAAAAAAATTGACACTTCTATTTGTAAGTCACAATGACTTTCAAAATTCCATAAAGACTAGTTTGAACTTACTACTCATTTAAAATTAATGTGACCAAGAAAATGTTAACATTATGCTAACCACCAACTAAGTTACATTTGAGAAAAAAGAAGATTATTTATAACAGAACTTAACAATTTTAAATGCTCGAGTAATAAAATCCACATTTTTTCCATACTTGACAAAGTTTTGATCTTTATTCTCTAGAGTAGTATGACTTACATAAGATCTTCTGTTACGTAATTGATGTTCTCTAAAGCATCATGTCCTTTTAGTACATTTAAAATCTTTTCATGCCAAATGTTATCGCATTTAGTTTATCACCTTTATTAA